ACATCAGAGAAAGTTTCTCTTCTTCCCTAAAAACTTTTTAAAAAACGCAGCATTTCAGAATAAAGCCTGCATTTTACATGCATATTATTCCTCAAAGTGTGTGTGTGTGTGTGTGTGTGTGTGTGTGTGTGTGTGTGTGTGTGTGCATTTCCACAGCACTGTTGAGCATGCGGTTATTTTTATGCCTGATGAGGTGGAGGTCAGGCTGGTCACGTGACCTGCTGCTCCCGCGTGCCAACAACTCGAGTGTTTAGATTTTAAACTCCAGCGTTCAACAGGACATTTACAGTACACAAAACGCCTAATGACCATGGAAAGTGCTGAGGCGTGCGCAAAGCCCCGAGCACACCACAACAAAGAGTGATCAAACAACTTTTAGCAGGTCAAAACTGTACAAAGCAATGAAATAAAAGTTTGTGAATATGTGTGCTGCGCGTGCGCTTTTTTAACCGCAGACGCACCGCCACTGATAAAACGCGTCGCTCTCGAGAGCAACAAATACAAGTAAAGTTGAGAAAAGCGCAGTATAAGCAGTGAAAGTGGAGTAAAGCGTTGTCTTACAGCACGCATAGGGCGTACGCGCCGCTGACGCTCTCGCTGTCCCGCACCAGGAAACTCCCGTCCCGCCCGGCTCGAGCCAGCAGCTCCTCGGCCGCCGCGCGACTCAGATCCCGGTGCATCCAGAGTGGCGGCGGCGGCGGAGACGCGGGACCCACAGCGGCCATCGCGGAGACTCACACCGGAGAAGACGCGCAGCGGCCCCGCTCAACACGCGCGACGCTCACCGCTGATCCTGCTTTCCTGTTAGTTCCTGAAAATCCTCCATGAGAGAGAAAACACACACTCAACAGCTCACATCCGACAGCAGGGGCGACAGAGAGACAACACACACACACACACACACACACATATCCAAGAGGGCGAGGACAGTTCTACACACACTATTCTCATTTCTTTATAGTTAAACAGCTTGAAAATAATCTACATTAAAAAAGAGACG